TACTTCTCAAAAACTAAGAATTGTTTTGTTGGAAATTTTGGTGATTTCACATGCATATAGGAAAACTAGATAATAAAAAGCTGTTTAAAATCATTCAAACTGAATTTTTTAACTCTGGTTATCCTTAGTTTTCCTACTTCAAGAATAGCCAACAACGATATAGCTATGGAATAGCTGTAAGAACTTCAGTGCAGCAAAACAACACTCATTGTCACCCAACTCTGGAATTACTAGTAAACAGAAGACAATCCATGACATTAGTTACTAGTAATTTCTACCTATGATGAATCAAAGAGACATGAAAAAGCGTTACGCAAATTCTCTTGCTTTTTTTGTGTGCTATGTTTACACTCTATCAGTCAACAAAAAAATTGTACAGTTAAACTAGCTTCTTAGAGTATGTAATTGTACAGTTTGTACTTCTGCCTCTTTGCAAGTCACTCTGCTTATGTGCTTCAGGGTGATGAACCATTCTGTATCTATTAAGGGGAAGAAACCTTTACATCGAAGCAGCTGCTGCTGGGATACACTCCCTAAAATGCTGTACAAAAAATTAAAATTGCTGTAAAATAGTCCAAGACTGTTTCTTAATCCACATTTTATTTTGTGAAGATGCTGCTTTATCATTGGCTTCATTCAGAGGAGAAGGAATTACAAAAACATACACATACCCTATTTTTGTTAGGCACATTGCAGGCAAAACAAATTTTCTCTTGTGATATAATTACAGCGTACTCTTTTTGAGTCCTTGGTAGCATTAAGAAGCATCAGCCTCTTGTGGTAGGATACTAGCAAATATACTCAAGTTAAAACAGGGGAAGTTTAGCTTGGAAATTTCTCCTAATTTCTTCTCAGAAAGTGTAGTCGGGCAGTGGAAGGGGTTGCCCAGGGAGGCAGTGGAGTCACCATCTGGAGTCATCACCTGGGAGTGATGGTGGACAGTCAGCTGAATATGAGCCATGCAGTGTGCTCAGGTGGCCAAGAAGGCCAACAGGCATCCTGGCTTGTATCAGAAACAGTGTGACCAGCAGGGCTAGGGAGGTGATCGTCCCCCTGTACTCGGCTCTGGTGAGGCCGCACCTCGAGTACTGTGTTCAGTTTTGGGCCCCTCGCTACAAGAAGGACATCGAGGTGCTTGAGCAGGGTCCAAGAGAAGGGCGACGAAGCTGGTGAGGGGCCTGGAGAACAAGTCCTACGAGGAGCCGCTGAGGAGCTGGGCTTGTTCAGCCTGGAGAAGAGGAGGCTCAGGGGCGACCTTATCACTCTCTACAGATACCTTAAAGGAGGCTGTAGTGAGGTGGGGGTTGGCCTGTTCTCCCACGTGCCTGGTGACAGGACGAGGGGGAATGGGCTTAAGTTGCTGCCAGGGGAGTTTTAGGTTAGATGTTAGGAAGAACTTCTTACTGAAAGGGTTGTTAGGCACTGGAACGGGCTGCCCAGGGAGGTGGTGGAGTCACCATCCCTGGAAGTCTTTAAAAGACGTTTAGATGTAGAGCTTAGGGATATGGTTTAGTGGGGACTGTTAGTGTTAGGTTAGAGGTTGGACTCGATGATCTTGAGGTCTCTTCCAACCTAGAAATTCTGTGATTCATCCCTGGGGGCATTTTAGGAAAGGTTGGACATGGTGCTTAGGGACATAGTTCAGTGGGTCATACTGGTGGTAGGGTGATGGTTGGACCAGATGGTCTTGGAGGTCTTTTCTGACACTTTACTGTCAGTTAGAAGTAAGCAACTGAGCCTAGTTATTTACTAGCAAGTGGCAATGGAATTATCACACTTACAGTAGAAAGCAGAGCGTAATTCTGGTACTCCACTACCAGCGGCAGGTGCTAGCTACAGGTACTTGCATGTCTGTGCTTAAATGCTCATTTACTGAATGATTCAGTGCCAGGATTGGGATGGGTTGACCTAGGTCAGCAACCAGACACCCAGCCTCTCTTTTTCTCCTTTGTCAGGAGGCCAGGCAGAAGGAAGTGAGGGGGGAGGGAAGAAGTAAAATGAAATAGCTTATGAGTCAAGACAGACAACAAGTATTGTCACAGTAAAAATGGATTTCAATTATAGAAAATTTATTTATTGCTGATTTTAATAGATTTGGGTAACATGAGGAAGACAACACAATAGAACACCCTCCCAACTGTTCCCAGGCTCAACTTCTCTCCTTCACTCCCAAATCAACTCTCCCTCTTCCCCTGAAGCATGGGTTAGTCTCCTCTTTGATACTTTCCTTCTCTCACTTCTCCCCTGCTTGTATGGACTCTTCACAGGCCTTATTTCCTTCAGGAAAGGCCAAGTTGATCTGATGTGGGGATGTGCACTGGTTGCAGTGCAGATATCTACTCCAGACCACTCTCTTCCATGAACTGCAGGGAAATACTTGCTCCCTTGTGGTCCTCTCCACAGGCTGCAGGGAAACACCTGCTGCAGCACCTCCTCCTCCGCTCTAGGTGTTTGCAGGACTGTTTCTCACTCTGCCCCTCCAGCATTTTCACTCTTACATGTTCTCAGAGAGGTGCCACAAACTTTGCTGTTGCACGCTGCTTCAACCTGTGGTGGGTCTGGTGCAGCAGTGGCTGTGCCTGGCAGAGAGCAACCCCCAACCTCTTCCTACAGATGCCACACCTGAATTCCTCCTACTGCTAAAACTGGCACATAAACCCAATATGCAGGGGTTTTGGCAACATGCAGCACTGTTAGTGTCAAACCTGACTATTATGAGAGTTCTTCAGAGACAGCCTAGAGATAACAAAGGAAGGTAAGAAACTTTCTGAGGTGAAGATAAGATCATCCAGATGTCTTCAGTGGCAGAACCTTTGCTCAGCACTGAACTAGTGCTTAGCTTGGATCAGCTCAGTGCAAGAAAATGCTTCTCGTGATCTGGAAAATAAAGCCTAAAACTTCCTCTGAAGTAGTTCAAGAATCATTCCCATAGTACAGGTAAGAGGCTACCTGCTTTTATTATTTAGATCTGCCATTTTAAATGAGACTATTGTAAATACAAAGCACCTGCCTAATTAAAAAGATGAATCTCAAGTATTTATGTTTAGGCCATTACCTGCTTCACAGGAGAGAATTTGAATTCAAAGGGTATCAGTTTCGAGGATCCAACAACAGATCAAACATACAGATTTGAACTTTGTACTGTTACTGACATTTCACTTGGAAATTACAACAAGCAAGTAATAGATTAAGAGGTGCAAGACAATTAGAAGACTACTAGAAAGGCAGCAAATAAGAACATACAGCTTTTTTCCTCCAGTCTGGAGACTTGAGTGTTCTGTGTTAGACAATTAAAAAAAGTGCAATTAAAAGCTGAAATCCGTGATCAATTGCATAACAGTGCCTAAGGATCAGGATTATATTAGTTGTATAGACTAAATCATCCTAAGGTACCACTGAAAAGCTTGTTCAAGATTATACCTGTTTATACTTATATTATATAATTAGGGTAAACAGCAATAAGATTCAGATGACTTGAAAGATAAAAATACCTCAAATGCTATGAACTTTTTTGGACAAAAGATCAGTGTACTTCAAAATAGCTGAGTGACTGTAGCAGTAGAATTTTCTTCCTAACCCTACCCTATTGCCCCATTCACCCTCTGCCTTCGTTTTCATTCCTTTAAGACTTATTTATGCTCAGTGACCCAGAACCTGTCTTTGGGGACTTTACACCCTCATGTATATTTTAGTGTTAAAATTGGTTCTTCTTTATAGCAAACTGTTGAAGTAAGCAGCAGGTTATAGTGCCGATACCAGGAAAGTACTTTTTACCATCTTTGGAGTGGGGGTGGGGGAAAAAAAAAAGCTTCAGTCTAGAGATTGTAAGTCTGAAATCTGTAATTCATCTACAGCAGAGGCATGTCAACACACAATTGATATTTTCTCAGGATTTCATCTGCACGAGGTATTTAGTCTGCATAAATTCATGTCTAAATCTAGACATGAACTAGCTTCTGCTAACCACACAGAATAAAAGCAAGAACTTCAAAGTTTCTTAGTGATTGTCAAAAAAAAAAAAAAGTTAAATTTCATAGAATAGGTACATTTAGCAAGGTCAAAATCTTTTTCCCCCAAATGATGCATCATCTAATTGAAGACTGCATCATTAAGCACAAACATATGAAAGCTATTATGAAAAATGTAGTCTTTTAAAAGTTTAATTCTGCAGTTCTATCTTCTTTTAACTTTAGTATGATACAGGTTCACTTTTCTCTGTGATGAGCAATATAGTTGGACTAACATGAACCCCTGTATTTGTCAAAGATGAGCAGATTTTGAGAGTGTTCACAGTTGCACAACATTTACAATCCTCCCTGAAAATCCACAATCCTCCCTGAAAATTGCTGCTATTCCAAATTAAGTTTGAAGTCCAAAGCACTCTTGTGCTTTTATCATCAGTTTCGGATAACAGTATTTAAGAGTAAAGCAAGAAAAATATCTTGCGTTATCATTTACAAATATGAAATATCTTTCCTTGCCTTGAAGAATAAAGTTGTGTTTAACTCTTAATCATTACAGATCAGTTCAGAAAATTCACCCTTCATCCTTCCATCATTTTAATCAGTACTGAAAAAATCAGCCAGAATGAACTTTGCTCTTTGAAATTGCAGTAAATTCTCTTCTCTCAGAAGGCTTAACAGCCCTTTCCTTCAAAAAAAAAAAATAAAAAATCTTGAGCCACTGTTATCTGTGTTACCACAGATGAACTGACTTAAGAGCTGGTATTCTAACACTGACAAATTCCCATGTTACTTGAAAACATGCACCCAGAAATTAGGATACTTATCACCAAACACACAATAAGAAAAATGCTTTTAGAAAGACTTCTTTTAAGCACACAATTTCTTATTTCTTTTTCCATGTACTGAGCACTGCTTTGGAAAAACAGAATATATAGTTATTTGGCACATACAAGAACAATTTATTTATTTTTAAGTGAAGAGACATAAGGTAGTAAATGACATCAAAACACAGAAAAGCAGATAGAGGATATTTACCTTGCTGAGTATTCTGTTCTTGAGTTCGATTCACAGTGAGGTCTAGAGGGCTATCCTGTTCTTCCTGAAGGGAGTTTTCCGTTTGGTTCATTTGGATACTTTTACATATCATACTTGGTTCAAACGATGAACCATTTCTGTTCTCTTGAATTTTGCTACTTTTTGAAATGTACTCAATCGCAAACTGGCGGATCATTTTTTTCATTAATTCCTGAGCAACTAGGGGAATGTTAGGATCACAGTTCTGAGGAAGATCTAGGAATAAAAAACAACACAAGCAACAGATGTATTAAGAAAACAAATTGAAATACTTTTCTTTAAATAAAGATTCCACATACACACATGAACTCACTGCACCCATTCACTGTACTTAATGAACACATTAAGATACCTCCTAAATTGTTCTTATAAATAATCCTTACTGGTCACTTGCAAGAGTGCGTTTAGTGCCCATCAGCAATTTTTACCTTACGTAATTATCATGGAATTTCACTATCATGGAGTAAGTCAGATTATACGGGAAGATAAACAGTGCAAGTACAAGAATCAGAATTTGCATTTATTGTTGGTAATTCAGAGGAATTTTTGTTTTAAGACAACTTTCAGCTTAGAAAATATTTTCGAATATTTAGTGCAAGATAAATAGAAGTATGAATATACAAGGAGTTACTTTCAAAGAGCAAATAAAACAAGTTATTTTTAAACTACAATTCTACAGATTAGTCCTTTGTATAATATAGAACAGTCGGACTTCTCAGAAGTTAACCTTAGAGAAGAGTTGTTTCATGTGTATATTAGATCATCATGCCTATTTGAGATTCAAGGTTTCAACATCAAATCTGATGTGATATGACTTGAGATTTCCCATATAATTTGTATTGTAAAATTCAGTTGCTTGCATTAATAATCTTCAGAGGTCAAAGTGCTAACAATGAAATTATTTGAGAGAAGAAACATTTCCTGTTCTAAACTGTATACACACTGTGTGAGGACACGTGTGCGTGGATACATACAACAATCCCATGGAAAAAAACGTTTTATTTTAAACGCACAAAATGAGTACAAGGATCAAACATAAGTTCCCTATAACTTTAATATGTGCCAGCTAGACAAAAAAAAATTAAAGTTTATCTGACAAGCAAAGCTGAAACTACATTTGTAAATTACCGTGATAAAATCCCTCCAAATGCCAAAACCAAATAAAAATTACATTTTTATGCTTAGTTACATAAGAAATCTACTACAGAGTAAGCTGTATTACTGATCAATGCAATACCAGAAACTGCAATATTTCAGTTAAAAAAAAAAAGAGCACAATTGTCCATAGTCCAATATTTACATTCTTCCTTAATGTGGCAGTAGTAGTACCTATTCCACTCTTCTTTCTTTCCCTAGACACTATACACACAAAAATATGCATTTCAAAGCTTTGCTTAACCCGCTGTCCATCCTCAAGTTCACAGGTAATCAGCAAAACAAACTTCATCAGAACAGAGGTTTAAAGCTTAAAAATAAGGAATTGTGAACGTGAGGAATTAGCTTTTAGGTCATTCCTGATTGCCTGAAAGCAATGTCAAAAGGATATTGTGGCAGTTACCAGTGAACTTATATCAGTCCAGAACAGATAAATAAAAAAAAAAAAAAAAGCCAAGTAGCTGAGTTTTGTCTTCCTGGAAGCTGAGAAACTGAAAGGACTGGATCTCACAAATATTTCACCCAGGTATATACTGTTGGAAGATAGATGAGTGGATCACACAGTATTTGCTCAAGCATTTTATATCAATGAAGCTATATCCATCTACCAGCAAGAATGATCACTGAGATTGGACCAAAGCACACTGCTCAAGTTTAAGATGAATGTATGTAAGATTCTGTTTGTTTCATTTTATTTTTTTTAAATTTTTTAAACATTCACCTTGAAGAATTCATTTTCGCCAAGGAAGTATTGCAAGACATTACAAATACATAGATCTGGTCTGCTGAGGCAGCTGACTGTTCTGGTGCTTCTTGATAATGTCTTTTGGTTACTAGGTAAGGTAAAGCTCCAGCATTTTCAAAAGCTCAGTATATGCTAGATGTCTTGGCTTCAAGAGACCTTACGCAAGACATGAATAAAAAACAAATCTGCTTATGATTGAAGGCTGCTTATGATTGAAGGCCTATCTTCTGACACTCTTTCAACCAGATTGCTACCAAAATTTCTAAAACTTGATAGGAGTTTCTGGAGGAGGGGCACAAAGTGAAATTTCAAATGCAGGATGATTCATGCAGAGAAAAATCTCTCTCCATCATGTAACATCCAGACACAGGTATTATTTGTTTATTGGTATTTCTTGATTCCTGAATAATGAATCCATGAAGTGTCCAACTGGCACACAGTTAGAGATACATGAGAAAACAACTTCACAAAAGATACTGAAGCAGCAAGGCAACGGATGTAAAAATGTTAGTGTACATACACCAGTAACAAAAGAACAAGGGAAGTTTGGATGTAGAATTGGAAAATTGGGTTACCTAGGAACAGTATCTGCCTAAAGCTATGATTCCACCACTGTCAAACAAAGAAAGTTACTGATCAAAAACTTAGATTAAAAAAAAAACAACAACAAAAAACCTTACAGTGAATAATCAAGAAACTCAAATACAATGAAGTATGAGCAATGTCAACAACACCAGTTTAACAGATATATAAGAAGGGTCATTCTATAACAGATGAGAAATTAGTCTGCTGCATGCAGCCAAGAAAACCTTTGTTGAAGACTTTTGGAAAACAGGTGATTATGAGCCCAAATGGGAAAGACAGTTACTTTACATCCCGATACAATCTGTGCCTTTAAAAACCAAGAGATCAGAAGCACAGGGTATACTCATAATTAACCGAAAAACACAAATGCCTGGAATAAGCATCTGCCTATTAATCACCAACATTAAGTATTGTAAGTGAGACAAAGTTCTTCCAGAACTACAATGTTTCTATTTTCTTCCTATTCTGTTTCAGAGTCTTCACACTGGTAATATCCAAGCATGAACTGTTTTTAGACATTTGCCTGACAAGTCTGCTTTTCCATTAGCAGCAAAACCATCTTTTGAACTAGTTGGAATAACAAAGATTTTATTTTTTTGCTCTTATATATCTTATTAGTCTTATTTTTTCTTAATTATTTCCAAATACCCCCTATGGAAGAATAAATGCAGTAAGATTTCTCATAACTGCTACAACTACTGACTGTTTAAGTTAATTTACTATAAAAGGTAATATCAGATGGAAAAAAAACACCTTGGAGCACAATCTAAAAAATGTGCTCCAGGTGCACATTTGCAGTATTCTATCTGCTAATGTATATACATTCAGTCTACAAAGTTAGACCCTAGTTAGTCTAAATTTAACTGCTAAAAATGCAAATAGCATGACATCCTCACACCCTTAAATCATAATTCACATTGGAAGGACCTTAGGAGGTCTGTAGTAAGACTACATGCTCAAAGCAGGGTCACCTTTAGGATCAAACCAGACTGCTCTGAGCTCTACCCAGCTGGGACTTGAAAATTCTGTGGATGGAGACTATACAATCTCTCTGGGTAGCCTGTTCCACTGCTTGCTGATCCTCATCTCTCCTTATACAACCAAGAACATCTCATTTCAATTTGTCTTCCATTGTCCTGCTATGCACCACTATGAAGAGTTTGATCCTCTTTTCTCAGTAACCTCCTCAGAGGTATTACAAAGCTGCTGTTGATCCATTTTTATTAATACTGCATCCTCTCTAATGGAAACAAAGCTTATGTGGATACATAACTTGTAATTTTAGGAAGAACTAACTGAGAATATTTTAAGTCAGAAGTAATTTCCCACAGCTATCCAAATAAAACAGGAGAGATGAGAGATGATAGATACTCAAATGATAGTGATATTTTCATATACAATTTTCTTTTTGTACACTATATCCATAGTCTAATTTTTTCTATAAAATATAAATGTAACTTTGTATGTTTTATCAATATAAGACTGTGTGATCAGAACAGGGTACATGGTTAACGTGTATGAGAGTGTAATTGCTTACATTCAGTGTCTTCATTACTGTATGTAATGAAAACATGTTGAGACCTGTAATTTTAAGTTCAGTGGTGAGGTTTCACTACACATAGGAAATCTTTAACTAGTCACACAAAGTTTGTAAAAGACATTTAATGTATTTTGTGGGAAGTTATTAAACCTCTGAGCTTAGTCTCACTAGCAAATATTTCTTAATTATTATCAGCAGATGGCACCAAATATACTTTGTACGAACAAAAGTTAAAGTTTTTATTCTAAGATATTTTATTAGGAGTACTGATTACAGCTAGTTTAAAGTTCTAGATTTATAAGCCTGCATCTGTTTAAGCTTCTATTTTTCAGATAGAAAATTTACATGACAAGGCAGCTGTATTTACTCCATAGATTGTGTATGCAAATACATACCACTTCAAACCCAGCAAAAGTTTCTAAGAATTTGGAGTAATAGGTAGCTCTGATGGTCCTCTAGTGCCTCTCAGATCACTGTAGATCCTCCTGATATTAAGATACAAATGTGTCACTTATGATACAGCCTGGTATTTTCTGCTTGTGGAATATTCCAGCCAGTATGCAAAGGCAGCAGTAAAGATGATATGCAATTATGACTAAACGTAACATTTTTTTTTTTCCCCAAACCTCACATTTAGGATTAAGACTCCCTCAGTTTAAGTACTATACCACCTTGTAGCTATTCAAATCGTTGTGTTTTACTATTCTGTGAATTAAACTGTAAAAGCAAAAATGATTTAACAGCTAATTTAGTCTTACACATGTATTTGGCAGGACAATGGAGAAGGAATTGAAAGCTCCCAAACTTATGTTCCACATTAGCATTTTGCATCTTGAAAAATAGTAATTTTTCCATTTAAAAGGGAATTGGGACAACAATCTTTGATTTCTCTTCTGATACAGTACAAAAAGGCAGCTGAAATCAGCAGGGAATCATAGCTCTCCTTGTACCTTACAAGGCAGTTCTGTGAACAGCAGAACTAATAATATGAGGTTGCTTATCAGCATTTCCTGTATCACCTCTCCCTTTAACAAAGGGGCTGCATGTTTTCTAGAATGACCCCATCTTAATAGCCAAACTGTACCAGCAGCATCCTTAGCTCCACATGTAAACTTATCCAGCTCATTGTACAATCTTCGCCCGGTTAAAAAAAAAACAGAATACAGCCATTTACCCCTCATGATTAGTTTAGTCAGCTTAATTGATCAACAAACAGAAGGAATAAGGGCCAAGTTTATTCTAGTTTTCAGCTCTTTTAAACATTCAAAGTTATTCCCTCCTCTACTTTAATGGCATTTTACTTTGTATCCTCATATCTCTGAGGATAAATGAAGTAGAAAAACTTAAATGAAGTTGAAAATGACCAGGAAATTCAAGTTACTGGAGACAGTAATACTGGCAAACAGACAATCAACACATTGTACATTTTACTTCCTTCAGCAAGCAGTTGAAATACTGCTAAACATTATTTCCTGATGAACCTGAGGGACAGGCAGCTTGCGCAGCACACTTGTACCACATTCTTGCTATGACAGTTCTCAGTTCTTACATTTGTACTTAACCTAATTTATCAGATAATACCAGATTTTGAAAAGACAAATCAGATTTCTTAGAATTATTAAGAAGGAACTGCAGGTATTGGATTAAGTAGTATGCACATCAAAACTCATCTTCAAAGTAAAATTTTTAAAAGATGAATATTTAAGAACATTTCGATGGTTTTCTGTAGTCTGAGATTATAGGTGCAAGTCTAGATAGGGTTTACCAAACCCTACATACTGTCTGAGAAGCGTAACCAGCTCTTGACATCTCTGCACCTGAGATACAACTAAGTAAAGAATGAGAACTCAAAAGCAAAGGCAATTATATTGTATAAATACATACTTATGAAAGGAAACATTTTAGAACATGAGGCACCTAGAAACAAGAGAAAACTAAGCTTTAAAGGAAGTTACTTTGGTGTCAAAAATATGATACTGAAGAAGCTTGACAGAGCTACACATAGAACCTAGAAAGACTGAAGTCATTCAAGTCATCCTGACTATTTTGTTCCCTCCATTTTTCTACCTCAATTCCTTTATTTCCATAAAAAGATTTTCAGGTTTCTGTCCTGGTGGATCAGGACCTGAAGGTAGAACCTGATTCACAGCTGCGATTGTATTTAACTGACCTTTGGTTTAAGAGTTCATATTAAGGTAATCGTGAAAGAAAGAAAGCTTCCAGGAACATATGATGTGGATTATCAGAAAGCCAGATAATTAATATTCAATGATCAAAATGTCTGATAAAGCTCTTGAGCAACTACATCTCTGCCATGTAAAGATTAGCACATTCTGTAATATTGATAGTAATATTGAAAAAAGAATATTGAAATATAAGCAATAGTGAAATAAGTAGTGAAATATAAGAAATATTGAAATAAAAGTAATATTGAAATCAAGAAAAAAGCTGAATTTCTTAAAGCACATTATATTTTTTTTTCACGGCTGCTTTGCCAAAAGAAAATGGATACTTTAATCTTACGTAAGTGAAGAGTCTACTCTACTTACAACACCCATTGGGCAAAGAGAGATGTCATACCTAGGAAGAAAGCATTTCAGATAAATTGTTTAGTGTAAACAATCAATTCAATAGGGGCTACAGCAGGTAACAAAAACTACTTTGGCTTTACTGAAGTGCCTGCCAAGGATAGGACTTCCTTACAGACAACTGTCTACCAAATTTGTCTTTCACTAACACAACAGTAGCTACCTAATAAAAAGCTAACACTTTGTTCTTTCATCTTGGCAGTGATTTTATCACTCTTAAAAGGGAAGAGTCATCATCTTTGGGATTTTACAGACATCCTCATCAATGAATGCCTGCAGGTTGTATGCTATGGGCAACATTTATAACACGCCTGTATGTCTGGAGACCATCTGAACTGGTGCCAAAAAAAACAGTTTGCAAATTAAAATATCCAACCACATACTAGCATATTTTGAAAGTAAAAGGATAATGAGACCAATAAATAAAATTTAATTTGCTCTGTCTTAGAAGTTGTTCACAGATGCCCCAAATGAAATTCCACTGGTCATGACAGTAAGAGACAGTATATGCTCTTGAAAAGTTTATAATCAAAACAAATGAAACTACTATTGTTTATAATCAAAACAAAATGAAACTACTATTACTTCTGTTTTAAAGGCAGCCAACCAAGACTTCCGCAGTACTTTGACCATGAAAAAGTATCTGCTTTACTACCAAGTGTAACAGAAGTTCCTTAGGCTAAACAGTTACTACAAGTGTTTTGATCTCCCACCCTCCCAGGGATAACTGATCTCAAAAGCCTACAGAAGTTCTTAAAGACTTGGGATTTTCCTAGCAAAACTCTTCAGCTTGCTCTTACAAAGAGAAACTAGTATCTCAGAAATTGGCTTTACATGCCCTTTGCAAAGAACAGTTTGTTCCTCTCTTCCTTCCATAATTTGAACAATTTACAAGACTCTGCTGAACCTGAACTGAAGCAAATTCCTAGAAAACTCCTCAACATGCTATCAGTTACCCAAGAATGCACAAGACCATCAGAGAATCAAAGATAACCAGGAAAGCTTTTCCACTTGTTTTTCAAGACACAAAACCTTTTAAGCTGAGCTGATCTGGCAAATCAAAAAAACTAAGAAAGATGCTAAAAAAACAAGTGCTTTTCTGAGAAATTTCACAGAAGTCACTCACTCTGCTAAGGTGAAGTCATACAAAGTTTCACTTCTTGCATGATAAAATTTCCTCCCAAGGAGAATCAAAAGACAGCATCTCTATGGAGATACAAAGCTATTATAGAACATACAAGGGAGGGCAGAGACAGTGAAGGGTCTAGAAGGAAAGATGTATGAGGAGTGTCTGAGGTCCCTTGGTTTGTCCAGCCCAGAGCAGAGCAGGCTGAGGGGAGGCCTCATGGCAGCCTCACAAGGGGAGCACAGGGGCAGGTGCTAAGCTCTGCTCTCTGGGAACTGCGACTGGCGCCGAGGGAACAGCATGGAGCTGGGACAGGGGAGGGTCAGGCTGGGTGTTAGGGAAAGGTTCTGCACCTAGATGGTGGTCGGGCACTGGGACAGGCTCCCCAGGGCAGTGGTCATAGCACCAAGCCTGCCAAAGTTAAAAGGACACTTGGACAACACTCTCAGAAACAGTCTGATTTTTGAGTGGTCCTGTGTGGAGCCTTAAATTGGACTCAATGATCCTTTTGGGTCCCCTCCAACTCAGGATATTCTATGATTCTATCTAGACAAAGCATAAAGCAGGTAATGTTGGAAAACACTGTATATCACATGACCAAGGAAACAGCTGAGAAGGTAGAAAATTGAAGGAATTTAATAATACTTGCCTAGGGAGATGCCATGAAACTACCCCCTTAATCAAAATATAATAGAAGTTTCATAAACACTGAGATGGCAACATTTTATTTCAAATGGAAAACAAGTGGTTTTAAGCAAAGACAAGGAATGAAGATGGACTCAAAATACGTACTGCACTCCATTCAAAGTCTTAAGTAAACTGTAGGCTGAACAGACGTGCCCTGTATGGAAAGAGATTACATCCATCCCAGGTTCAAAGGCACAGTAATCTCTTCCTGATACAGCAAGGTAAAGCAGGAGAAAGTTAGCTTCCCTTCCCCCCCCTTCCTGTGTGAAGTGAATATGAGTGACTTGCTCTACTACTTTGACAGAGTACAAGAGGGCTGTCACCCCGTCACACTCACCTATTTTGACATTCAAGTACACCAACTAGACTCCAATAAAACTTCTGAAACCCACAATGAATAAAGATGCACTCGTGTTCTTTACACAGGAACTTGAGGAAGAAAATTTGTAATTTTGCCTCTATCAATAGTGACTAGCTTACTGGCAAATAACCTACATGAACCAAGCTGACCTGCCAGTCACTCGTGTACTGCTATAACTTGACAAGTGCCAAAGAATGACAGTAGTCGAAGAATAAAATTTCTTAACACTGTTTTAAGAAGAAGCTTCAAACACTGGCTTGGATATATATATGAAATCACAACTTCTATATAAGATGATCCCAAATCCTATTTTGTAATCCGTAAATCACATTATCTCACCTACAAGAGTTTGCCTCCTGAAAACTGTAAGTAAAAGCAGTTTAGGGACAGAAAGTGTTTAAATACTTAAAAACTCCAAGAACTGCATCCCAAGTTGGCGTAGAAAAAAGTTAGAAAAGGAAAAAGGTAATGAACACAGATTTAAAAGAAAAACAAACAATGCAACAAGACTCACAGCAACGGCAAGTAAAGAATTAATGCTTTATTTGCTAAAACTAAAGGAAGAGATTAGGGAAAAAAAACAATGAATAAAACAGGAAGAACAGCATTCTCAGCAGATTAATAAAAACTACTTCAGAATCAAAGTCAACCCTAAATCATTTGATTCTGCTACATTTATGTCATCTATTAATAGAAAAGACATGCTTTCATTACCTTTCTTTCGAAAGAGTGCATTTAGATAGTTTTCTGCTTGGCATTCAATCTTATCAGTGTTGGACTGGCCCTGAGATGATAGTTCCTCTGTAGGCGTTGACTGTGAAGAACCAATAATTGATGCACGATCCTAGAAGATACATGGAAGATTTTTACAATCTTTCAGAAGTTAGTCTACTGATAGTATAATACACAATTAAGTTACTGAGCCACTAAAGAGATTTTTACTACTTCCCATCATAACTAACCTATCTTAAGTCAAAATGCAGTATTAACCTATTTGCAAAATTCAGCTAACCTATTTGCAAAGATTCATATTTTCATACCAAAAATTAGGCGTTGGAGAGTCATGCTTGATACCATGTTCATACTTACACTGACTGTTTCTTTGTGTAAATTACAAAAGGAACATTTCTCATCCATAGACCAGTCAGTTAGCTCTTCTGGCTCACAGTCTTAAAAGAAGAAAAAAAGCTAGATGTTTTAAACACGTAAAAATGGATTCAGAGAACAAAATACACATCCTACAATTCTCTTAACTAAGTTCCATTGTAACCTAATATGCATTTATTGGTACAATGCAGTCAACAGTATTCAATTCTTCAGTTATTTCTTAAGTCTAGTCTGGCTCTTATGGTTCAACTTTCAAATCAGAGGGCATCTTCCTTAAAATGAAAAGTGAACCCGTACATTTCAGTTGATTACTTATCAGTTACCAAAGGCATCTGAGTAAAGTAAATTATGCTCTGAAACCCAGTCATTATTCCTTTTAAAGTCTGCAAGCCTACACCAAACTAAGCTAGGAATTCAGATACAGTCCTCTCATTACTTGAGCAATGTGTCATATTTAGACTATTTTATACTATTACTACAAATGAACCAAAACCCTACATTCACTTGTAATGCTTTATTTGTTCTGATAAAAACGAGAATTTTAAAGTCATCTGACATCATACTTTAGATTTGAAGGAACATAGGGCTTAAATAGATTTCAATGGAGACATACAATCTATTTGTTTAATCAAGTTATTAAGCTCCATTTAAAAAGTTAGTTTTCAACCACATACTCTTAACAAACCACCAATCACTACAGATTTTCCAAAGCAGACTGCTTTAATAATTAAAATTAATATTCTAGTTTCTTGTTTAAATTTACATATGTCAAAGTTATTCCAATCTGTTTCTGTGGCAACATTGTTCTTACACCTAAACAGTTACTGCTCATGGCTATTCAGCATCTTGATGTACTTATAGAGAATGTTATCCTCCCCCCCCACCCCCTACACTTCATTTTGCTATGCTAATCAAATCTACCTAAGTCTCTCATGAGACTCAGCCCTCATCTCTGCACTATTCCCAGTTGAACTCCCATTTCTTGAACACAGGTGACCAAGGTCTCAAGATAATAAACAGTACCTTTCCTGCAGCACCCCAGTTGCATATGAGTCTTGATCATGGCTGCATCATTTTGGCAGGAGAATATTAACTACATCAACTACAGATCTTCCTATATCCCAGTCATTTCCAGTTCATGCACTCATGGCTTAAAAATTTGTTTTCCTTATTAATACCAAATACATCTTCCCTTCAACCGCAGCATTACAAGTACAGTTCTGCTAGGGAGATTCCTGAGGTTATCTGCTTCCAGATACTGTGGTGGGTTGACCTTAGCTAGCAGCCAAGGGCAGGGGGTAAAAATAAGATGGAAAAGCTCATGGGTCAATATTAATGCAGGGAGATCACTTACCAATTACTGTCACAGGCACAGACTCAGCTTAAGGAAAGTAAATTGAATTTATTGCCATTTAAAACAATTTCCATAATGACAAAACGGTGAAACTAAACATCTTTCCCCGCCTTTCACTGGAACAGGCTGCCCAGGGAGGTGGTGGAGTCACCATCCCTGGAAGTCTTTGAAAGACGTTTAGATGTAGAGCTTAGGGATATGGTTTAGAGGGGACTGTTAGTGTTAGGTTCGAGGTTGGACTCGATGATCTTGAGGTCTCTTCCAACCTAGAAATTCTGTGATTCTGCCTTCTTCACAATCAGTCTTTCCTTCCAAACTCAATCTCCTTCCTGATCCCAAACAGGGCAAGGAAGATAGGGGTACAGGGGTTGCCATCAGTTTTTAAGAGTTGTTCTCTGCCGCTTCTTGCTTCTTACATTTTTCCCCTGCTCCAGCACAGGAACCTTCCCCCAGACTACAGGGCTTCTTAAACTGCTCCAGCATGGGTCCTTTCTACAGGCTGCAGTTCAAAGAGCAGGTCCTGCCCACAGGGAAGTCCTTCAGAAAAGACTGCTCCAGCAGGGAGCAGGGGTACCCCAAGGGCCACAGTTCCTTCCAGAAAACCTGCACCTGTGTGGCCTCTCCAAGGGCTCCAGTTTCCTTTTCAGGCCACCTACTGTGGCATAGGGTCTTCCACTGGGGTGCAGCAAAGGTACCTGCTCTGGTGCAGTTCTCCAAGGGCTACAGGAGCTTTCCACTTCACTGTGGTCCCCTCCACAGGCTAATGCAGGGACATCTCTGCTCCAGCACCTGGAGAACCTCCTCTTCCTCCTCCCTTTCTCTCACTGTGGTGTTTCTGGAACGTTTCTGACATTCCCCTCCATCCCCATTCCTCTCTTACAAGTGCTTTGCAGGTTTTTTTTTGTTGTTTGTTTGTTTTCCCAAATAGGCACAGAGGAGCCAAAAAATAAAATGAATAAAAAAATGTTCTTAAGTTAAATACAAACATAACTTGATTTAAATAATAATACTGAGTTACTTGGGTTATCTCAGCTGTCAAACGCTAATTTAGAGCAGAATTCTGTATTAACAACATGTTATATACTTCCAGGGATGCAAACCAGCAATTTTGATGGGTTGGACAGCTGATGATCAAAAAAAGACATGGGATTTCTCCAACTGCACAGTAAGAAAAACAGCACGTCATTTTTGCTAAATTAATCTACACAACCCTGATTGTCAGGACTATTCTTTCAGGATGTCTGCACATAAAAAGCTTCAAACATTATATACGTTCGTAATAACTTCGTGTTTTCATAGTTTTCCTTGCAAATCACAACAGGAATCTAATCTAATGTGACTACTTATACTTGGGATTATGTGTGCAATTCCAACATAGCTAGTAAATTTAGCAGAGTAATTCTTCCGCCTTGGAATCCTGAAGTTCTACCGGTAAAAGTCTAATTGGAGAACAATCCTTCTGTGGACCAAGCAAGCACCACTTAAGAGGCGTAAGGTCTGCATCACACTAAGTTTATTCAAAGAAGTGTAAATCATGTACAAGGTATTGTATTAAGAATAAGAGTATAACATAAGAATTCAGTGAGCTAGAGAACACTGCTATCAGAATAAAGACTCAAATCTAGAGGCGATTGATCAATTCTAGGCTTCTCTAACAGAAGAACTTTGGAACTTAACAAGGAAAAGAACAAATTGTTGTTACCTGGCAAATAGTGGTTAAAAATCATAATACTGATGCAAAGAGAAAGCCTAAATGTGCTCTCAGGGACTGTCCCCTAAAATTCAAGTCATGCTTCAGGAAAAAAGATAAGTAGTAAAGAGAAGAGAAGGCTCTTTGCTATAAAATTATTTCCAAACCATCCTCTGACACCTTTCTTCAGAGCTGCAGGCTTTCAGCATCAGCACAGCAAAGTCAAGAAGTCAAATAAACTTGCGTGAATTAATGATACCTATTCCAGCTCAATATAATGAAAAGAACTAAGTACACATGCTTGCCTTTACATCCAGTGTTTCATTAGTTAATGTTACAGCAGCCGTAGACCTAGACTCATTGCAATTTACTTCATGCCCCACAGGTATCTTTTGAAAGAGTATCCTCCCCCCCCCCCCTCAAAAAAGAAGAACAAAAATCACCACCACCAAAATACACAACCAAGTATCTTATTCTTCACCTCAGACCAGTGCTTATCCAAAACAAAACAAAAAAAAAAACACAATAAAACAGCAAATTCCCAGAAGCAACTGCCAGGGCTGTTGCTTGATGTGTCAAATACATCAAGTGTCAGGCACACAACAGTCTCAGGTCACCATCAGAGGAAACATATCGATGTCAGTATTAGTTTTTAACTACAGATAGGCCATCTGTGCCTCTGATCTTTCTGAAAGTATGGTTGTCTCTCTTAGATGCATTTAATTTAGGATCACAATCATTCATTCCCCCATTTTATCTTGCTTGGAATCAGCTGATAAATGATTTGGTGACAATTTAAAACAGCAGCCAGCCCATGAGAAAAAGTTGCTGGACTGTGCAAAGAGTATTTTGATATTATTGCATAGTTCAGACTACTACTTCAAACCAATATCATTTAGTGCAAAGCTATTTAATAAAAAAGGGAAATAAGTTTAATGAGGGCCTTTGACAAAAGTTACCACCTGTTTTCAGTTCTTAAGCCATTCAAATGTTTGTTTCCTCCCACTTTTTTCCTCCGAAGTCATGCTGAGTTAACAGATATCTGTAGTATCAATTGGCTTTCATATTTATCTCTTAAAATGTGAAATCATCTACTAAACCTAAAAAGAAGTCAGACTCACACTTCCCAGGATTTTCTGCATTATTACAATGTCCCTACAAATGTTCTGGCAATTTGTCACAATTTCAAACAAATCCCCTTTTTCATATGGCACTACTGATTCTTAATAATTAAACTGAAGTATCTGAGGTGATTATCATGTTCCTTCACCTTTTTAATTTCATAAAAACTTGACTATGACTAAAAGATTTGTGTTTCAAATGTAAATTTTCATCCCATTACCTCCACTATAAATAAATATTCAAGAAAAGCTCAGTAAAAAAAAGAACACAGCACACCCTCAAACAACCCTTTTGTCCTGTATAAAGTTGTTTTTTTTTCCCTGGCAGAGGAAGAATGGCAAAAGCTGTGTTTTACCCACAATACAGTGTTTTCCCTCTGTCCATAAAAAAACAGAACCCCTTCATCTCAAATCTCACCCCAAATCCCAGCACATAATCCCATGAGAATATACGCATCACAGAAGAAAAGCTTTCTAACAGTTTAACTGAATATGCCGAAGTAGAATGTGAAGAGTAACAATTTACATGTGAATCTACTTAGCTGAAAATGGCTATTAAGGAAAGGATTAGGAAACCCTAAAAGGTTCAGTGACACAAGAAGACTTGAGAAGTTCTGAGCAGGACCAAGGCTGGATGCTGAGATAAGATTTGACACCTCTGCAACCAGAAGATACACTATCAAAGCGGTCAGGAAAAAAATGGTGATGAGTAATAGAGGTAACAATAATCATTTAAGCAAACAAGTCCTACATAAACAACATGTAAGAATTTTAAGATTATGAAAAAAAACTTGCCATCAGATCATCATCTGTTACCATGGGTGGGGTTGTTCAATTGGTTTGCTGCTTAGTAAGAAAGTTTAAGGCTTACAAGACATTTTCTTTGAAAGGTAAGAAAAAGAGGACTAGCAAAACTAAAAATGTACCTTTTACCATTTAATTTTGTCTTTTTTTTTTTTACTCAAGCAGCTTTAATTACAGTGATTTAATCTATAGATCAAATACTATTTCAACACACAATTAAGGAAGAAATATACAATTAATATATATTAAATTTTATGCATTTTTTGTTACACAAAAACATAAGAATGAACAATAAGAGAAAAATGGTATTGTAGGTAAGAGGCATATATTTCAGTTGATTCTCACAAATTTCTGGATAGGGAAGACATTTAATTTCTTACGCTTTATTCAAAGAAACATACTCTCCTGCTAACAAAGCATAATGGTGCATGTTGACAATACTGATAGTAGTGATCCAGTGGTCATGATGAGCAAAACAGACACTTTACAAAATGTTGCTAACAGCCTAAAAGTGTGGCTGCTATTCTATATACCAATGACAGACTTTGAAGTGAGTCAAATTTGTCTCTTAGTTTCATTACCTGTAAAAATGGAAGAAATGGCACTTGAATTATGACGGGGAAGATTTATTGTCAATCTTACTCAAGATTGTATTAATCTTTATAATGCAATTCAGATGTCAGTTTAGAAACAGCCCTAAATCCTAAGATGTCTGCTTCTACTGTATTTATAGAGAACATAGCAAGTCTCTTTCAAACTGTTGTAGTATCTATATCAAAAAAAGGAATATAAAATAATAAGGTGGGGTGGGAATCCCATCATCCTTCATCTCTTCTGCAGTTGCTCCAGAAATAAAACCAATTTTATAGGTGTCAAACACAGAAAGAAGCTCTAACTGTTCAAAATTCAGGTACATTACTGATGTTCAGATAAGGAAAAAAGAAATCACTTAAAATTCTATGTTTTAGATACACATTAACCTGCAGGGACAAAGATCCACTAGGGCATTCAGACAAAAATGGAAATAGTAGATCACCTTAAACAGAAGGCCACAAGGAATCTTCAACAGCATGAGATAAATAAACTGAAGCTTTTCCCTTAAGAAAGGAAGCAGCAAATGAAGCAACTCTAAAGTCGTAATGTAACACTTTATGGTGTACTATTGGGATCCTTTAGCTGTAATGCTTACACTGTGGTCATTTGCTTGGTGCTTTGTCACCTTATGCAAAAGCCCAAAAAAATGTCCTGAGTTTCCTTTCAAACTGTAAACCCTTTGATGCAAGAGAATAATAAAGCTTCAATCACTAATCAATGTGAAGCCTAACATATAACAACCTATTAGAATTACAACAAGAAAACGATATTGTACACTATTACAAGATCAACACTGCCGTGTTTCCTTTCCAAAGAGTAATGGGCTTGTTTTTATCACAGGAGATGGGAGTACCACTCAAGAAAATAAGCTCTAGCCCAAATTTACAAATTTCTTAAACATTTTTAAGAGTCTGACTAGTGTTATGCTTAGCTTTGTAAGTGGTAGAAAGTTACTCTTAAAACAGCAGTAAAGTAGTATTTCAAATTCTCTCCCTCCCCTTGAAAATAGTGTTATGTGTATGATACCGGCCAAGGAACTGACACAATACAAAGAGGACAAAACCTCAGCCAAGTTAAAACAATCATTCCAAATCTATTATAAGCAAACATACACAGTATACGACACACTGGCTAATGTACTAGCAGTATATTAATTACAAAACTTTATGAACTATCAAAACTGTAAGGAAATTAAACAGAACATTCTGAAGGTTTGGTAACAAATAATGCTTTTTTTTTTTTAAAGCCATGAAAATAATTTTGACAGTACATCTCTTTCAACACTTCAAGGCAGTTTTGTGCTGGATTTTCTTTCCCTGCTTTTGTTCAAGACTGATAATATCTGGATCTTTAGTTAACTATTTATTAACACTTATTCCAAGAAAACCAAACCCATTTTGAATAAGAATAGGTCTTACAAAAGTCTAGTGCATATATTTTTTTTAATAGAAAAGATTACGCTTTCTTGACTACTACAAAAAGCAAACAAGCATTCATAATCTTCCTTTTTCCAATTACTATTGATAGGGAAGACAAGCTGCTCAGCTTAGTTTCTAAAAGCTGTCTAAAAAATAAAGCCAGAATTACAATATTCCAGAAAACTTTTTTCATGAGAGTTTAACTAATCCCAAATTTCCTTACATAAGATTGCTTAGGTACCATTTTAGCTAATATTTTGCTCATGCACAGTACTGACGTGAGCATGATGAAAAATAAGTTGGAAACAAAACTAAAAGGTTATTTTTTAAATAAACTTTACATGCTTTAAAATGCCTCTAATTAAAAGAAAATTTGCAAATGAAGATCATCCCACTAAAAGCTGGCTTATTTACCTTCAAATAAACTGAGGTCTCTTCGTAGCCTTGGTCCATAAAGCCCTTCTAAAATGCTTTCAAAACCTGGAAACAAAAGAAACATTTAGAACAGTTAATCAAAGGTTTCTTATAAAAAGAATGCAAGTTTGAGAACACTGGCAACAGACATTCTCTCAAATTCCAAGAGCAATTTCAAAAATCGTTACATTTATCACATGGGTGTGTTTATTCCTGACACTATAGTACCATTCAGCAGAATTAGAAGATAAACATAAGACAAGGCTATTGCCATCTGCACACAGTCAGCCTATTAAGCCATGCCCCAACAACCTCATTAGACTTAAAATAACTACTATAGAATCTTAAGGGTTGGAAGATTAACCTCATAGCTCTACACTAGTGGAGTAAGTCTTTCTTACACTGAGAATTAGAAGTTGGGAAGAAGAGGGCAGGAGGACACAGGATTTCAGAATCAGAAACTTCTCATTTAGGCTCACAAAAAATTATATTGTATGAGTAGGCCAGTATTCTACAAATAAAAGAAAAGAAAGCTTCTTTGCTTCTGATGACAGTTCTGTATAGAAAACATTTTAAAATTGAGGATTAGATAAATCCAATTATTTTCCAGATTTACTAGCTAGTCTGTTTTAGGTATTTGGTAAAAGCACATACTGCAGCAGGAGAGAAGTTAATCAATCGTTAGCTGTCTGCAACAAACAGAAAAGGAAGAGGACATGCAGGACAACTAATGAAACAGAATTTGTAACATCAATAAAACGGAAGTTTTGTTCAATATAGAAATAATTTTCATGTGCCCTCTCTTCTCTCCTACAGACTCCTATATAATAAGCCTATTTTCAACTAAGAGGATAATTCAAAGCAGCATTTGAAGGTTCTCATTCTTTAATATGAACAGGTCTTGAGTATGAAGACAGCACTTTGCAAGACTATTTTATCATCCTACTACATGAAAGATACCACCAGTATCTTCAGGAAACATCTGCCTACCATCAGCACAGAACACTTCTAATTATAAATCTGCTCATCACCCATGATACCCTCTATCACAGACAACGTTTACTTTCTGGTTTAGATCTTATGTACACTAGTATGAGGAGGAATTAACATGCTATATGAGGTATAGTGGATATTTAATAATTTAAAATCCTAACCTAGACAAGTTATTTTAACTAAAGGTTAAAATAAAAAAATAAAAAAAAGTTAAAGCTATTTTAACTTTTGTTCAGCCTGACAGGTCACATTGTGTTAAAAATTACCTTTTAATTTTGTATGATTCCATGGGTTTTATACAAGAATTATATGTATATTATTAAATTGACTAGTACCTACTATAATTTTACAATTTGAGATAGGAATAAATATACTTCTATTCTAGGTTTCTGGGTTTTTTTCCTCCAATAAATATAGTCTTATACAACAGCACAAGGTAATAGACAGAACCACTCTCTTCTCAGGTGTTTTTTTTAAACACAGCTACAAAAACTAGAAAAAAATCCAAAAATCCAACGTCCAAGTATACACTAAAAATTATATTAAAATATCATCCATTGACCCTGAGATTCAACGTTATATCAATTCAGATCATACTGCACAGATTCCTAGCTCTTCTGACTTCAAGGGCAAGAGAAGAAATCTTAAATTGAGATGCAATTCCCCAAATAACCACCTGAAAAAAGTGAAATCCTAGTAAGAAAAGCAGTGTAATGTTATAAACAGCAAGCCACTTAAGCTCAGCAGCTAGCCAATACTTAGATTCTTGCAAGTTACAATTCACTGGAGCATTGCTTGGAAACAGCTGGGCTTATTCCAGAACAAGTACTAACTCCAATTTTTTAGTACTTTCTAGCTCTGCAAAAAAACCTGTTCTTTCCAAAACTGCTTTCCATGCATCTTGTGTTATAAATGGTAAATAGCACAGTTGGCTTTTATGGTTTTTGCTTCTGAACAAAGTGGGCACCAATCCACTTCACTGATGTTTCACCAAACTGGGTTCCGTCCTACCCTTCTCTTACCAGAGCTTCCCCATGGGGCCACAGGTTTGACTTACTACTGCTGATGAACACAAGCCAACAACATTTCATGAAATGTAACCACCTGAGCCCAGGAATTTAAACAGATCTTTGTTTCATTGGAAATAAGTAGTAGTTTTGGAACTCTTCAAAACCTGAAGAGCCTACAGACACTGGTCAAATATACTTTACTTATACACCTGTATAAGTACTTATACACCTTTACTGATACACCTTTCCAACAATCAATCAAAAAATCTGTTCTAAGTTCATTTTACAGATGTCTTCATATCAGACTTTTGGTGGCTTGACTCTAAACTGCCTTTCACAACTACTGTTAATTTATCCTGGACACTTTTTGGCTCCAAACTGAAGAGAAACACCATGCTTTATCATCTTGCAATGTCCTTTTATCTCTAGCACATGTATTGTGTTACTTGTCTTCTTATATCTTTACATAAAAACAGTATCAGCTCTATCAATTACTTGACATCCATTATGATCCAAGTCATTCCTCCAACAATTTTCATAAGCATAAGTTTATGATACTGCTAATCTTTTGACAGTTAAGGAAAAATGTTTCCACAGTTAACTTTTCTGAACAAAGCTGTCAACTTCCCCTACAACACGTATTTCTTCCTTAACCCCCTTATGATCATCCTCTCCCAAATCTGTTGCTTTCCTTGCTCAGGGCTAGAATAAGGACTCCCAGGACATGGTTGCTGGAAGCTGTGACTTCCAGCTACAGGAAGAGGGCTCTCTTTTTCCATCAGTAGTTCTTTAGGCGCTGAAAAGGCACACAGCCCAGAGAACAGGTCAGAAGGAAGTTCTGCCAGGTTTGGCATCTAAGCCTGAATCATGGGTCCACAACCAAAGCCACTAAAAAGAAGCAGTGACCAACAGTGGCTGCAGACTTCTGCATGTGTGGGATGAAGGCTTCTACATATGGAACATACTGTCTGGTCGGCTACAAAGGTCTGTTGTTTGCCTGGGGTCCTGATCTAGGTAGGATATAGCTGAGAGATTATATATATATATATTTTACAGTTCACCTGACCATATTCAATGTTATAATGTGGTGCTTGGTCACTATGATACTGCCAAGGGAGATCTTCAGCAATCAATATTCACTGTAGATATCCTGGAACAATAGGAAGGACGCTGGTGGTGATCCAGGGAAAAGGCTTTGACAGGAACAAACACACCCTGGGAGTAAGCATCTGGTTATCTGGCTGCAGGCAGAACTTCAGATTTTATGGCAATAAGAGTCTCTCTGAGAAAGTGCTCAAAAGTAACAGGATCCATTTGGTAATGCAAATCCTTATTGCCAACAGGCTTGCCTGGTAATGACAGTTTCAAAATCCAAGGATTTGCTAAGGCAATGCAGCCTGAAGCCCAGAAAGTAGGAGAACAACAGAGAGGGTAAAGACAGGACAACATAAAAGCAAGGCTTCTACCACCCCCAAAAAAGTGGCATAAGCAGGGACAGATCTCCAGTAGCATCCCACAGCTGAGCCTGCAAGCATGTTTCTAACAAGTTTCTTCAAATGACTCAGACCAAGCCTTAGAAGAACATCCAAGAAGAATACATATCATGTAACAAATAGAAGTTGGCATTGGAGTACCACTTTCAAACACACCACTTGGCAGGTCTGAAGCTAGAGAGTTATTACACAGTTGGGAAAGAGACCAGTAGTATGTGTGCAGGTTATATTGAAGTGTTTTATATACTCTACATCACATTCACTTCTATATTCCGTTAGTCTTGTTTACCACAGAATCACAGAACTGTAGGGGTTGGAAGGGACCTCAAAAGATCGTTGGGTCCAACCCCCCCAGTTTATTGTCATTTAACCATCTTTTGGTAAAAACAAACTATGTTTTTTTCCTTACTCTTCCGTTCTACACTAGAACACATTAATACTAAATCTCAGTGAAGGGCCTCACAAAAACTTAGGCAAACTCCAGTATCCGCAATTGATGCAAGGTATATGGAGGTGTTACAGCCACTTGTAACTGAGACCCAGGAAGCCACATAGCTAGCTACTCCACTGTAGCCACCAAGGAGGAGAGAGGAAGGGGGAAAGGAGAAAGGGAAGGAATGTCAGGGAAGGAAACCCCTATAATCCAAAATCTGGCCACACAAATGACCTTGCAACATGTCACCTAGAAAAAACATCTGCTTATAGGCGTTCTGCTCTCTACCATTCCCTCTCCCCACACCTGATCTACTGTAGCTTTTTCCAGTTTAGAAAAGTATAAGCACATACTAATAAAAAGCCTTCAAAGTAAATATTCCTAAATACATTCACTTTTGATACTTTTCCCCACTCAAACACTGTTTTACCCATATCGCTGGATACATAACAGAAGCAGTACACAAACAGTCCTTACTTAGAAAAAATTAAATGGAAGAGAGATGTTTAACAGTCTCGCTTCACCAATTCACATTTACTGCTTCATCTTTTCAGCACCAAAGTGAAAAATGTCTATTAGAATCTATTAGAAGAGACCACAGAATCATAGAACAGCTTAGGTTGGAAGGGACCTCACAGACCACCTAATTCCAACCCCCTGCTATTGGCAAAGGCATCTCCCACCAGACCAGGTTGCTCAAAGCCCCATCCAGCCTGGCCTTGAATGCCTCCAGGGATGGGACATCCACAGCTTCTCTGGGCAACCTGTGCCAGGGCCTCACCACCCTCTGAGTGAGAACTTCCCCCTAGCATCCAGTTTAAATTTCTCCTGTTTTAGTTTTAAACCATTCTGCCTTGCCCTGTCACTGTCTGCCCATGCAGAAAGTCACTCTCCATCTTCCTTTTAAGTCCCATTTAAGTACTGAGAGGACACAGTGAGGTTTCCCTAAAGCCTTCTCCAGAAGGAACAGCTCCAGTTCCCTCAGCCTTTCTTCACAGGAGAGGTGCTTCAGCCCAACGATCATTTTTGTGGCCCTCTTCTGGGCCCACTCTAACAGATTCATATCCTTTTCTTGTGCTGGGGGCCCTAGTACAGAAGCCTCTGAAGGCACCACAGGATCTCACATTTCTCTAAAAC